CCTATTCAAAAAATCTCATAGATTTCCATATTATATAGAGAGAAAAGAATTCATACCGATTTCAAATGATAGAGAGAAGTTTGGAGACTATTGAGTGTTTAATTGTGAATTGTGGGTTTCTTTGATACGACAGTAATAGAGGTATTGGTTCTTTGTTCTTATTCAGCTTTAAGTGAACTAGGAAAATATGAACATTATCCCAAATTTTTTAAGTATTTTAAATGTATATGTTGTTTTGGAATTGATATAAGGTTTCTAAGGTACTAGGTTTCTGCAATGAATCTTGAGAACACCCATCAATCTCTAAAACTTTCATCCATTGTAGTCTATCAAACGCCTTGCTCAAGGTTGGTTGTGCACCATCCCAAACATAAATAACATAGGCATACAATCCAAGTTTATTTATGGGGCTTGTGTACGGTAATAACCTTAGTTGAGGCGTTTGACCTAAAGGGTTGAGTTGATAGTTTTAGTTGAAGGTATGTTAGAATTTTAGTAATTGTTCTCATTGTGGGTCAGAGTATATATATATATATATATATATATATATATATATATATATATATATATATATATATATATATATATAATTCTTATATACTATTGTTGGTGGGGTTTGCAGTATTATTAAATTTTATTTTGTACTCCAAGACTACCAAGTACAAATGAGGGTCAGACATGAAACACCGGATGATAGGACCATTTTAGCAATTAAGTAGTTCTGAAATCTAACAACTCTATGCCATCCTTCAAACCAGATTCCCCGTACCGTAAGAAGCCATGAAAAAGTGTAATTAATAATAATAATAATAATAATAATAATAAATATAATAATAATAATAATAATAATGATAATAATAATACTTTTATTTAAAAGCTAGTTGCTATATTATATTCCCCTTTCGAGGATACGAGTTCTCTATAGCCAATTTAGCTTTGATACCAATCAGCTACACCCCCGACAGTGGCGGCGGAACACGTCGGGCTGTGCGACTGAGTTCGTGGATCATAGGTAAACTGAATATATAACACAAGTACCAAAATAAACAAAATAACATGTGTGTTCCATCTTGATATTTGAATACAAGGTTTTTACAGATAATAATAGTACATGAATTGCCTTAACAGATAAGCATATAATACAAAGCAAGTAAACTAGGTCACCAATAATCCAGTCCGTCTTGAATATCTGTTTAGTGATTTCCTGAGAATACATGTAATTTTGAGGTTCCATACATGGTTAGTGAGAGTTACAGGTTTTCTGCTAAGAACAATAATACTTTTAATAACTCTAAAAGCTTTTTTCTTTTTATGTATAACAATAGTTAAAACAGTGTTTTTAATGAGTCTTTAAAATCCGAAATGTATTTTTCTATAAGTAAATTCATACTTAAAATTGTGTTTGTAATGAATCGTTGAAAGCTAAAATGTATCTTTTGTATAAGTAAATCCATACTTAAAACTATGCTTGTAATGAATCTTTGAATATCCTTGAAATCTTAATTGTACTGTTATATATAAGTCATTCCATATTTAAAATAGTTTTAAAAGAAAACGAGCCCATGGTTTGTAGCGCGCGCGAGAGAGAGAGAGAGAGAGAGACTGTAGTTAATGTTTGTAGTGACTCCTATAACTGAGCTATGTTGTAACGACCCAAATTTTCACGTCCAAAAATTTCATTTTTTTTTAAAACATTACTTTTCGAAAATGTAAAAAGGTAAACATTATTGGACCAAACTACATCGCAACATAAACCATGTTCAAAGACAAGTCATACAACAAATCGAAACATCAGAGTATAAATCCCAAGGACATCTAGTCAATGCGGAAACCAATGTGTGTGCGTGATGTGCCGCTACCGAGCCAGCTCCTTCCCCTTCGATGAAGAGGTACCTGAAACCAAAACTGTAAACTGTAAGCATAAAGCTTAGAGAGTTCCCCCATCATACCACATACCATGCAACACATAACATACATACTGCCAGGCTATTCTGGGGTGCCTGACTACCCGGTACGGCCATTCTGGGGTGCCGACTACCCGTGCGGCCATTCTGGGGTGCCGTCCTACCCATGTCAAGCCATTCTGGGGTGCTGACCTACCCGTGTCAAGCCATTCTGGGGTGCTGACTACCCTTCAGTCCTAACAACCGAACTCGGGGACTAGTCCCCTCCTACTACCTCTATCGCATATAACATAACAAGCCAGCATGCAAACATATCATCACATACTGTCAGATGTATCTGAGGTGTCTGACTACCCTTCAGTCCTAACAACCGAACTCTACTACATACAAGATATCATGCTAGCATATAACATATCAGGTAGTAGCAAACCTAGATGATATCACAAAGAAAATCATCTATCATACATCTCCTACTGGTGGGCCGGCATTGTGCCCTTAGACCCACCGCTACTAGAAGGTAACTCACCTCGGAGTAGCTGCTGATCTTCGTGGGAATAGTCTGACTGCTACTGCTGCTGTTCCGGAAATCCTCCGGCTGTATTACCATCAAATCCTTAGTCAAAAACTGCTAACTGACCTTTGGATAAAATGACCATTTTACCCCTGATCATGCCCTAAGTCAAAGTCAGAGTCAACTTCCAGTTGACCCGACTCGCCGAGTTGGCTTGCCAACTCACCGAGTCCATGTCCAAACTACTGTCCTGAATTATGTTTCTACTCGTCGAGTTAGGCGTTGACTCGATGAGTTCTCCTTCCAAACTAATGTTCAAGACCTTCATCCTACTCGCCAAATTGTATGAACAACTCGCCGAGTTCATCTTCATCCGATGAACAAGTTATACTGTGACTCGCCGAGTTGTATAAACAACTCGCCGAGTCTGATCTTGATCTAATGAGATTGCCTTGAACTCGCCGAGTCGAGGCATCGACTCGCCGAGTTCCACGATGCGTGAGTTTTAGCTTCCAACTCACCGAGTCCCTCCTAGACTCACCACGCGACTCGACATAACGAAAAGGGGACAGACCCGGAGACTCACGACTGGACTCGCCGAGTCAGATGAGCGACTCGCCGAGTCTGCTCCATGCAAGAGCTAAAAATGTGATTTTTCTCGAATCCAATCCATGTCATTCGTAGATCTGGGCTCCTAGAGGATGAATAACACGTAAAGTTTCCAACTTTACGTGTAAATATCCATGTATGGGATTTTTAGGGTTCAAAATGCACCAAAAGAGTAGATTTAAGGTTTATATGCAATATGGGCTCATAAAGGTAGTGGATCTGAGCTCCTGGAGCTCAACTATGCTTGGATCTAGAGACCAATCAACTTATTTCGAATTATCATGCACATACAATCTTGGAAATGAGCCAAGAATGTCTTAAATGAAGCCTTAAGCATAGAAACATGGGGAAAATGGGATATACCTCAAAGGAACTGCTGAGAGAACACAATGGTGCTTGAATGACTTCCCTTCTTCTGGATCTACTTCCCTTCTTCTTCAAAACCTTCAAGAACACACAACAATTGCTTCAACTCTTTAAAGAACAAGCTTAAACGAGGGTTGGGGCTCTAGGGGGTGAATGGGGTTGTCCTGGGGCGGAAAAGGGGGATTAAATAGGGTGCAAACCCCATAAACTT